TTGATAATTCAATAAGTTCGGCTTTCTAAAATAGCAACCAACAACATAAACCCAAACAATGCTATTCAACCTTAAGCAAGAATTGAAACGCAAAAGAGAAGCAAATAAAGTTGAATCGAAACTCAAAATTGAACTACGAACCGCAGGTGACATAATGATATTAACAGAGAAATAAAAGACATTAGCGGATAAGAGTTGACTCGACACCAAATGGAACACAAGACCAAAAGATCATTTGAATACACAAACAAGCTTACACTACTAATTTGCAGCCAACAATAAGGAAGAATATTCTCAAAATTCTAACATTCGAATTACTCGCAACAATCAAGCAACAAACAGTCTTGAAATCAGTTGATCAGAAATATTACAACACCACACCATAAACTATCCAACTATTAGCTCACGACAAAAGAAGCTAAAATCAGAAACGAAATATTACCTTTTCAGGGCAGCAAACGGGACAGTAGCGAGCTCGAAAGAACAATGACTTCTCACACAATCTTGAAAAACTCAAGCAATAAACCAGAATATTCGAACCGACTTCGAACAAAGACTCTTTCGGAACCAATAAAAAAAACTAGAATGTATTCTGAATTTCTCATGTGTAAAATCAATTGCTCAAGAAAAATCTCCAACTTTTTTTTCCCTAACTTTTGTCCAATATTTTTCTCCAACACACACAATGAAGAAGATGGGGAATTTATAGGGGAAAACTAGGGTTCGAAATCTGGGGGAAAAGGTGAGAATTCGGATAGGATGGAGGCCCATTCAAAACTCCCAATCCTTTCACCTTTAAAGGGAAACACCCTTTCTCTAAAAATTTTGCCCAATTTCAAAAGAGGAAAGGGTGAATCGACGCCTCAGATCAACTCCAATGTCCTTGGCGAGCAATGTGGCTCAATCTCAAGGTCATAAGGACGAAAGCTTAGACTGCTTTACTACTGCAACTGTGAATTGGGAGGGACGGGAGGAAGGAGACAAAATTTGCAATGTACTATTTTCTGCGTTCCTCGCTGCTTTTCCGTCTATCGTCGTGAGATGAAATCATTTACTCGCTATTATGTTGAAATGATTGTTGGAATATTCCATGGATATGTCGTGTTCTTGGCGTTGCTTTCCCTTTGTTGTTGTTTGTGTTACGTTGTGAACGTTGGAGTTGTTGTCAATTTGCTGGGAATTGTACGCTATTCTAGGTTCTTTTGAGAATTGGAGTGGTGGGCTGGATTGGGTGGGCTGGGAATTGGAGTGGAATAGAGTGGGCTGCGTCGTCTGGGTATGTTTTGGTATTGCTGATGTATAGTTGTAATGGATTGCTGGTATGTATGGGTATTGGGTTTAGTGAGTATTGAATTTGGGCTACTGGAAATGCAAAATAATAAGGCCCAAACAATTGCATTACAAAACCTTGCCGATTTGAACTTAATTAGGATAGATTCGGCAAGTAATTAAATAATATAAATTGATATTAATTCGTTAACAAGCTTCTTAATTTTAACAACATAAAATAATTAACTTAATTATAAGCTAATTAATTTAAAAATATAAACTTATTACTTGAACCAAATTAATTAACAAAATTTTGACTAAAACTAAAATCTTTATAGACAGTTTTCAAATATTCATAAAATATACTAATTATATTATTTAAAAGTTATAAAAAAGTGACAAAACTACTTGAAATAACTTGCAACCCATTTTTTTGAAATTTTTATAAAACTAATATTTTAAATCGTTTGAAATCTAAGAAGCTCGAAAATTGATCGTTATCGGGGAGGGCCAAAATTGGGTGTAAACAATTGTCCCTCAGTTTACTTGGATTGATGAAAGAAATCTGAGGAAAATGAAATTGACGAATCCAGTTTTGACCGACCACATCTTCATCTTTTCTAAAAGAAGGGTTTTGGTATGGACATTAGAAATTATGGCCGAACCCCGGAAATGGGTTTTCGACATATCTCAGACTATATGAGAATTCAGACCACTTGTAGTTCGATACACTTGATGTTGAAAAAAATTCAAAAGTCATTTCGATATCGAATTATGAAGATACCAGAACGCTAAGCAGTAAGATTTAAGACAGAATGTCGAAATACAGCCGAGTTTTCAACATTGAGCTCGCCTACATATCTCTAAACTTAGGAAATCAGGCTACTTGTAGTTCGACTCAATCGGTTGAAAATAAAATCTATTATGCGAGATAACCTTTGGTTCTGGAAAATGACAAAGTAAGTCGAGTATGAAAATGAGACTTGCAACCTCTTAGCCATGAATGTGGCGCGCTTCACACCCATAACCAAGAACTTACACGAACATAATTTTTTAAAACTCTTGGCGTATTGTCACTCAGATTGGAAAGTTGCTTTCGGTAAACCCCCAAAAAATTTCGAATGCGAAATTGGTACCGACAAACCTAAGAAAAAACCCACATGCCTTCTGATAAGGGTGTGGTTTGATTGTGGTGGAAGTTGCTCCTCAGCTCGCGTCCTAAGAGTTTGGTATTCCTCTTTGGACTATGTCCTAGTTCGCTGCTAAGAAAAAGTATCACGTTGTGATGCATCCCTTTTGATGTCATCCGCACCTATGGTTTGCTTTGAGAATTCATCCTCTTGGAATGCTCTCGGAAAAGATTGAGAAAGACTCATTAGCATAACATGCAACTCAAATGGGGAGATAGTGTCTTTTACCGTGTTGACACTCAATTGTTCTCTTTGGACGTTTGACGTCAGCTTCCTTTAATTTGACGTAAAGCAAATAAAGCTTGTATATTATATTTGCAATATAATCTTCAATGTACTCTTTCTTTGATGTCGAAGTAATAAAATAAGCTTATGTAATATGTTGATAGTTCCTCTTGACGTCGTTGTTGATGGTTCTGTTGATACTGTTTTTGCAGAGAAAATGATGCAACCGATGTTGATCTTCTTGTGATGGGTTAATCTTTCTCTTGCGATGCACGACTCTTTTCTCTTAACGTATGACTCTTTTATCTTGCAATGCATGACTATTTTCTCTTGCGATGCATGATTCTCTTGCGATGCGTGACTCTTTTCTCTTGTGATGTATAACTCATTTCTCTCACGGTGCATGACTTTCTCTTGCTATGCATGACTTCTTCCTCTTGCTATGCATGAATCTTCCTCTTGCGATGCATGACTCTTTCTCTTGCAATGCATGACTCTTTTCTCTTGCAATGTATGCCTTCTTTCTCTCGCGGTGCATGACTTGCTCTTGCTATGCATGACTTCTTCCTCTTGCGATGCATGACTTTTTCTCTTGCAATGCATGACTCTTTTCTCTTGCAATGTATGACTTATTTCTTTCGCGGTGCATAACTTCTTCCTCTTGCTATGCACAAATCTTCATATTGCGATGCATGACTCCTTTCTCTTGCTATGCATGAATTTTTCTTGCTATGCATGACTTCTTTCTCTTGCTATGCATGAATCTTTCTCTTGCTATGCATGATTTTCTTCCTTTGCAATGCATGACTTCTTTCTGATGATGTCATCCCCGATACCGAACGAAGATAATGCTTCACCGGACAACACATGTGATCTTCTGGGTGGTGGTATCGTCTCAATTGACAATACAATAAAAATGACCATTGGAGTAATGGTATCATCTCATTCGACAATACAATATAAATGACTCTCCAGGTAATGGTATCATCTCATTCGACAATACGACATAAGTGACTCTCTAGATAGTGGTATCATCTCATTTGACAATACAATATAAATAACCTTCAAGGTGAGAAATATTACCATATCTGATAATATAATGCAGATAAACGTCTTTCAGGTATCTTTAGTTGCTAAAAAATAATAATATTGCTTTTCTCGTGGTTTTCGTTTGTTCCATCTCCGAACATAGTTGCAATGTTCATGACGAACCTCGCTTTGCTAAGAATTTGAATGAAATAATGCTACTCATAATCCCAATTCTTTGGTATAAGAAACATAAAATATTTCCTGCATCCACAGAAAAGTTGTTAATTTTGGAGAGCTCCTCACCCTTTTGAGTTCTCCATATTCATTGAATGGAGGAATATGTTGATCTTGAGGCAAATTTATAGACATGCATCCACAGAAAAATTGTTAGTTTAAAAAATGAACCGCTCTGTGTTGATCTCTTCGGTTGTCTGCTCCTTGTCTGACTATGTCCGATTGATTTTTCCGATCTCCCGCCTCTTGATAGATAAGACAAAAAAATTTATGCAAAAAGTAATTAAAACACGAAGGGAAAGTTTTAAGGAAAATAGATTTTCAAAAGCAGTATTTAGGAAATGTCACTACCAAGTGTCATGTCACATCACGCTTAGTGAACGTCTTTGAGGTTGATGCCTCGAGGTCTGATTATTTGCCGAGAAGTATTCAAAGTTGTTCTAAGCTCCCGATAAACCTTATTGAAATTTTTGAAGTTGTCCTAAAAAATTTCTGTCCCAGTTAACTGTCTTGGCGCATACTGAACTGTTGATGAACAAACCATTGAATTGTTGAGATCCTCTCAAATATTATGTCCCATTTGCAATTTTCAACGTAACTTCAGTCTTGGTTTTGTTGAAAAGATCTTCTTCTTGAGAATTTTTGAGTCCCTCTCAAAAATTATGTCCGATTTCTATTGTAAGGAAAAAATTGAAATCTTTCGGCAGATATGCCCAAGCCGTTATGGCGCGCATATATATCCCGTTGAGATAGGAATCAGGTCAAACGTAGTTTCCCCTTCTCGAGAATTAACAGAAATAGGAAATTTACAAAGAAACCGATCGAGGCCGACATAGACAACCTACATATCTCATTCTTGAGAATTCAGGTCGAACGTAGTTCAAATAAAAAGGATAAATAGGGCGATCGAGGCCGACATAGGCTGTCTACATATCTCATTCTTGAGAATTCAGGTCAGACATAGTTCATTACAAGAGGGATAAAATATCAAACAAAGCGATTACAAGCAAATAGAATGATCACAAGGAAATAATAGAAATACAAACTGAAACTTCACACATAATATCTCTTGACAACATTTAAGTTAATCGGTTTCAGCCATTCGATGCCATAAATCTCCGACAGGACCAAGGCACCTCCAGATAACACTTTGCGAACCATGTAGGGTCCTTGCCAATTTGGTGCAAATTTCCCTTTATATTCATCCTGATGAAGGAAAATGCGTTTGAGAACCAACTGGCCAATTTCGAACATTCTAGCTCTTACTCTCTCGTGGAAAGTACGAATCATTCTCGGTCGATAAAGTTGACCATGACAAACAGCAACCATTCTCTTTTCATCAATCAATCTTAGCTGGTCAATCTACTTGCGAACCCATTCAGCATCATTCAACTCAGCTTCCTGGATGATTCTCAATTAAGGTATTTCAACTTCGACAGGTATAACTGCTTGTGTTCCACATACTAACAAGTATGGAGTAGCTCCGATTGACGTTCTGACGGTCGTTTTATAACCCAATAAAGCATATAACAACATCTCATGCCAACCTCTTTGATTTTCAATCATTTTCCTCAGAATTTTCTTGATGTTCTTGTTAGCAACTTCTACAACCCCATTCATTTGGGGATGATAAGCGGTTGAGTTTCGGTGAGTAATCTTGAATTGTTCACATATCTCTCTCATCAAATGATTGTTGAGATTTGCTCCATTATTAGTAATGATAGATTCCGGTACTCTAAATCTATATATCAAATTATTGCAAATAAAATCAGCTACAACTTTTTTTGTTACCGACTTATACGAAGCTGCTTCCACCCACTTGGTGAAGTATCTAATAGCAACCAAAATGAATTTGTGTCTGTTAGAGGCGGCTGGCTCTATTGGGCCAATGACATCCATTCCCCAAGCCACAAATGGCCAAGGTGAACTCATAGCATTGAGTTCGTGAGGTGGCACTCGGATCAAATCATTATGTACTTGACATTTATGACATTTCTTCATAAACTTGCAATAGTCATCCAAAAATAACCACCCCGAAGGACCTTCCTAGCCAAAGTGAGCTCATTCATGTGAGTACCACAAACTCCGACATGTATTTGTTCGAGAAGCTTTGCAGCTTCTCTAGCATCAACACATCTGAGAAGACCTAAATCTGGAGTCCTCCTATAAAAGATTTCCCCACTTGGAAAGAAATTGTTAGCCATACGGCGAATTGATTTCTTCTGGTTGAACATTGCATTCTCAGGATAAGTCCCGATCTTCAAATATCTCTTTATGTCAAAATACCAAGGCAAACCATCTGGTTCTGCTTCAACGTGTGAACAATGGACATGTTGCAATTTTACCTCTATATCCAAGGGATCAATATAACTTCTATCTGGATGTTTAATCATTGATGTGATGGTGGCAAGAGCATCAGATAACTCATTTTGTATCCTGGGAGTGTGTCTGAATTCAATCTTGTGAAATCTCTTACACAACTTCTGTATATACTACACGTACGGCGTGATCTTTGGGTTCTTCACAACCCATTCTCCTTGAACCTGATGAATCAACAAATCTGAATCTCCAATAACCAGAAGCTCATGAACATTCAAGTCGATGGCCCTATACAAACAGAGGATACAAGCTTCGTATCCTGCCATATTGTTCATGCAATTAAATCGGAGTTTAGCTGCCATAGGATAATGTTGACCAGATTCTGATATTAAGACCGCTCCGATACCTTTCTATTGGTGGGTTGCCGCTCCATCAAATAACACTCTCCAACCAGGGTATGCTTCAGAAATATCTTCAACCAAAAATGCAAGTTCTTCATCGGGAAAATAAGTCTTGAGCGGTTCATACTCTTTATCAATTGGAATCTCCGCGAGATAATTAGCCAAGGCATGTGCTTTTATCGCCTTTTGTGTCACATACACAATGTCAAACTCAGTCAAAAACATTTTCGATCGGCATTGTTTTCTGGAAAATATACTTCAATTGATCCATTCTGGAAATAAGGTATGTGGTGTAAGAAGACAAATAATGTCTCAACTTCTGAGCAATCCAGGTCAAAGCACAACATGTCCTCTCCAAAAGCGTGTAACGAGCGTCATATGGAGTGAATTTCTTGCTCAGGTAATAGATGGCTTGCTGCTTCTACCTAGTTTTGTCATGTTAACCAAGCACGCATCCGGATACGTATCCGAGACAGACAAATACAGTAACAGTGGACTTCCTTCCCGTGGAGGAACCAACACCGGTGGATTGAACAAATAGTTTTTGATGGCATCAAAGGCAGTTTGACATTCTCCGGTCAACTTGGTCAGGAGATTTTTTTTCAATAACTTGAAGAGGGGTTCACACACCATAGTGGATTGGGCAATGAATAGGCTGATGTGGTTCAACCTTCCTAGAAAACTCATCACCTTCTTCTTGGTCTTCGGAGGATGTAATTCTTGGATCGCCTTGATTTTGGAAGGGTCAAGCTCAATTCCTTTTCTGCTGACTATAAATCCTAACAACTTGGCAGCTGGCACTCCAAAATCACATTTAGCGGGATTTAACTTCAAATTGTATCGACACAGGCGATCAAAGAATATCCTTAAGTGAGTCCAGTGATCCAAACTCTCGCGGGACTTGATTATGACATCATCTACATACACCTCAATCTCCTTATGAATCATATCATGAAAAATGGTTGTCATAGCCCTCATATAAGTAGCACCGACATTATTGAGACCAAAAGGCATCACCCGATAGTGATATACACCCCATGGCGTAATGAATGTTGTATTTTCTACATCTTCTTCATCCATCAGGATCTGGTGATAGCCCACATAACAATCCACAAACGACTGCATCTCATGCTTAGCATAATTATCAATGAGAATGTGAATGTTTGGCAATGTAAAGTTGTCTTTCGGGATACCTTTGTTGAGATCTCTTTAATCGACACAAATTCTGATCTTCCCATCTTTCTTGGCAACCGGAACAACACTAGCTAACCAAGTCGGATACTGCGTCACTTCCACTACCTGATACTCGATTTGTTTGGTAATCTCTTTTTTTATCTTTAAACTCAACTCATGCTTAAACTTCCGAGTCTTTAGTTTTATTGGACTGAATTTTGGATTAATCGACAATTTGTGGGACACCATATTCGTACTCAACCCTGGCATATCTCTGTAAGACTAGGCAAATACATCAATGTATTCTCTAAGCAAACGAACCATGTCCCTTTTTTGAGCTTCAGTCAGATGGACGCTGATTTTTACTTCTTTAGCACATTCCTCATCTCTGAGATTCACAGTTTTGATTTCCTCTAAATTCGGCTAGTGTTGATTCTCGAATTGTCAAAACTCTTCAGCAACATGTTCGGGTACCTCATTTTCCTCTTCGTATTCCTCATATTCGTTATCACCTGTCTCATTTCGTTCATTCGATTCATCACATGACATGACATTGGCAGATTTTAAACTAATATTACTGAAATCATAAACAAACAAAGTTAGAAAAGTAAAATATAAACAGATAAGTAAGCAAATTTTTTATAAAAGAGGCTTTCATTTATATTGAAAAACAAGCACAAACTTTTGTCATGGCTAAGGGCCATTTCACCTTTTTAAACATCACGGGGGAATTAAAAAACTCAAACAAGTAAAAACAACATAAATGGTGGGTCTCGGGCCTCTTCTAGACTACCACCAATTTTAAAAACAAACATAAACACATGTTTTTTCGACCAAGATGCACGGGGAATCAGGAGCGGCATGGAGGTCCAATTCTGTAATTGCTCCTCTGGCTCGGCATCGCGGATTCCTGAGGTCCCAGATTCATCATCCATGACTGTGTCAACTTCTTTAAACATGCCCCAGATTCCTTCCCCCAGACTATTTTTGATGGCATGTTTCCGCACCGGGAATGACTGGTACAAGTAAGGCATTGGTCTGGCAAGCATCCGATCAACACTCTTGTTCATCAGTATATGTGGGGACATACCCTAAACCAAACTTTGCCCCTCTGGCAGGAACTTGAATGGGCTTGGTAATTCCTTGGCCACGTTTCCCCAATTCGAGACTTGGTTCGAAACCATTCTGGAGCATGACAATAGCAATCATCTTGTACACAGAAGGCATATGAGGCTATGGAGCCAAGTCATCACCGGTGGCATTTACCAGCTCCACCGTGTAAAAATCGCAACCTCAGGAAACCTCATCAACGATTGGCACATACCTATCGGAATGACTCCCCTCACAATGAATGACCAATTCCTGGTCCTTCCAAATAAATTTTATCAGATAGTGAAGCGTAGACGACACAACTCCGAACATATGGATAAACGGTCTTCCCAGAAGCAGGTTGTAATTAGTGTTGATATCCAACACCTGGAACTCCACGTTAAACTCTGCAGGACCCATCTGAATTCTCAAGCTTACTGCCCATATCGTGTCTCTTTGCACTTTATCGAAAGCTCTCACATTGACTTGGTTTTGTTGAACCTTACCCAAATCAGATGTTGAGACCGGAACCATCGTCGACCAAAAATGATTTATAATTTTGTCCCGACATTTGATGGTGACGTTTAGAGCTTTGTTGTGCATCCTGCCTTCAAAGGGCAAAACTGATTCGGTGTCCTCGAATGACCTGGTTTATCATGGCTGCTAGGTAGTCACTGTTAGTACCCACATGAACATAAGTATCATCCAAAGACCTCACCAAAGCCTGCCTATGCATTTGCGAAATCATCAACAAAGCCCATACAGAAATCTGACCCGACGTCTTCTCCAAATGCTTCAAAATCGAATAATCTTTCGGCTGTATTTTTCTCCAGAACTGCTCGGCCTCAGCTTCACTGATCGGCCTTTTTATTTGGTCCCTCTTCTGCCCTCCTTGAGCCAACTCTTCCGGTGTGTAACATATACCAGATCTGGTCATGCCTTGAGTGGCAGCCGTTTCAATCACAAACTTTGGTCGGGCAAAAGTTTCTCTTGGTACCAAGTCAACAGCCTTATCGGGTGTCAAAATCACAAACTATTTCTTCTCTCTAATGCTCAACGAGGCTACAACCCTTTCCAGTTCATCAGAAGTGATCGTAACTATTGCCTTTGTCACGCACCAATCATCATATGTCTCTATCATATTGACAGTGATGCCTTCATGATTTGGCAAAAGATTACTATTGACATTGGGCGCAACTGTCTGAAGAGAGACCACGATTTGGTCAATCAAGTCTTGGATCTTATGCTTCAGGTTGATACAGTCTTCGGTATCATGTCCAACACCGTTGGAGTGATATGCGGACCTCTGATCAGGTCTGTAAAACCTTGAGCTAGTGTCAACTGGCTTGGGCCCCACTAGATGAATATATCCTGCCGCATTTAATCGTTCAAACAACTTTGTTCAGCTTTCAATGAGCGTAGTGAAAATTTTAGCAAGCTTCTTCTCAAATCTAGGATGGGGGGGGGGTCGTAATTGCCTTGTTGAGGAGGAGGCATTTGACGATAATTTAGGGCGTTTGGACGGGGGATTTGATATCTTGGATATGAGTTGGTTTGGTAATTTGGCTGTGAAGCCTAGTAGTTTGGGGGGAGAGGGGATATTGGTAAAGTGAAGCTGGGGTTTGGTACATTGGGAGAGGCGTTTGGTAATTTGCTTGAACGTTGGCACATTTGGGGGTGACGTTCCGATAGTGATGAGGTGGAGTCTCGTAAATTGGAGGGGGAGTATTTTGATAACTGTGGGGAGGGGTATTTGGTAATCAGTCTGTGCATAACAAGCTGGGTACGAACTCTGTGAAGGTCGAGAACGACCTTGGTATGATAAGGATTTCCTTGGGGTCTTCTTCCCCTCATAAGAGATAGAAGACACATCTTCTTTTTTCTTCTTCAACAAACCCGAGGATCCGGGCGAGGCAGCAACACGGGCAATCTTCTCTGTTCTTAATTCGT